GAAAATAAAAGAGCCACTGGTGGGTTCGTGTGTGTTCGTTGGAGGAGACGTGACCGCGGTAAGAAGCCATTGGGCAGGTGGGCAATGAAGCCATAAGATGCTATCGGCCTCACGTACCCTTACTATCTCCCGCTACCGACTCCCTTTTTTTCTCTCTCACTCCCTCTCACTCTCTCCTCCTTTTCAGAAACAAAACCGCCTAAATAAACAATTTCCCGGCTCGGCGGCAGGTTTTACACCAGAAGTCTCAAGAAGAAAAGGTGTCACGATTGAAAGGGGTGGCTGGCACCACGTCTAACGGGGTCGAGACACCGCCAGAACACTCGAGGTATTTTACCTCCCCAATTTATCATTTTTGAAGACGGGTTGCGGAACTCGAACTTTACAGGTAGAACTCTTAAGAAAACCGACATCAATTAGGGAAAATCACTATAATGTTTACTACAGATTTAAGATAGAAGTGTTAAAGTATACAGAATTTTTGAAATCTTTCGAAACACTTGATAGAATTTATTAGAAAAACAGTTGTACAAGCTTTTATTATTACGTTTAGTTAAGTCCCATCAACCCACCTCATCTTTAATCCTAAACCCTTGGGCAAAAAGTGATGATTTTGCTAGTCTTTTTTCTAAAGAAACAGTCAAAAAAGTACAAATTCTTGCATATTGGCCATGTTAGTAAGTGAAATGACATGATTTTTCTCTATAAGTCAAAGGACACTCAACAAGGCCGACGACAAATTAAAGCTTAATTCGAAACAGTTCTCATATCGTAGATCAGTGGCACTCACCGTATTATAAACAAATGTAGTTTCCTTTTAACAGAAAGTCCTGTATGGTATGCTTTGACATTGGTTAATTTGTAGGAATATAATACATATTGCATTTGTGTAGTGATTAGTGACCGTTAGTCGATGATTATTCAGAAATCGTGAGATGCGGTCTGGTGTGATGTAGGTTTCAGAAAAACATTTTCTTTATCGTGCCAACGTTTCGATCTTTATTGAGATCATCTTCAGGGACTGGGATATTGCATTTGTTTGTAATGACATAACTTCCTAGTTGCTAGAAAGCAATCGTGGGTACCGAGGAACGAAAGAGGATTTGAAACAAAATTCATACTCAAATTTGTTTATTAAAGAATAATAAGTTTTCGAACTTATATTGTAATAATAAAGATAAAGACGAAACAATTCAGAAATGTTCCAACATACCTCACTAGAAACGAAAGCACGCCAATAAAATGCTGTCGATGCCGCAAGAACAGGTCCACTGGTTACACACAAAACAACCCCAAATTTCTGGTATTTTGGTATACATTAACATTTTTTCAACCAAATGTTAAGAAAACATTCATTGCAGGAAGTTTTCATTAAAAGGCCGGCAAGAAATAATTATTAATGCGATACCGTCCAAAAATCCTTGGAGCTTGTCTGAGTTTTGTATCCCTTCATAAATACAAGCGGTTAAACCAATCTTAAAAATATATTTGTTTATTGTCTGTATGAACGTACAGCTTCAATGTTTTCTCTACTGATGTGCGTTTTTCAAAAAATACATATGCTTAGACAAAAAACCTGAATTTTCGAAGCGAGTTAATTATAAACATATTCCTGGAGGGAAGGTCCGGACACTGAAAAATTTACGCAACCGGTGTTACTCAATCGCTCTCCTAATGAAACTATTTTATCAGACCTTTTATCCTTAACCGAGACATACACCCAAATAAAATTTAGAAGACGTCTTATCTGTTTTGTATACGATAAAGCAATAGAAAAAAAGAAAATTGTCCTCAGAAGAGAAAAAATAGAATAGCCGCGATAATTAATATTTATTTTGGTGGCAATTGTTACCAGATGAGTGTCACTCGTTTTTAACGCCTCACTATAATTCTAGAAAATAATCTATTTTTGTAACTTTTATGACACCCTGCACGGTTGAACTACATTGTTTAAATATTTGAACATAATAATATTTTTAAAAAAACCAACATATTTATATTCCCTACTAGTCTCTCCCCCTACTAGTCTGAATCTTATACAATTGTTGATTATTGTTACTTATGACGAATAATAATTTAATTTTTTTAAACACTGTTACCAAGGAATAGTAAGGTTATTTAAAAAAACAAAAACTAGATGCATTTTTTATCCGGGCCATATACATTGGCCTTGACATCAAATATTTACTTGCTTTACATTTTAAAGATTAATCTGTTACCCTAATCCTAGAAACTACTTAATTTCTTGACAATAAAAATGAAAAACATTTTTTTTATCGTGCCAACATTTCGATCTTTATTGAGATCATCTTCAGAGTTCAAAGTGTTTTGAGTGCCCCCTCAACACGACAGACAATAATGGCACATCTACACGAAAAACAAACACTTTGAGCTCTGAAGATGATCTCAATAAAGATCGAAACGTAGCGCCCCACCAGATCGCATCTCACGATCTCCGAATAATCATTGTCTAAGGGTCACTAAACACCTCACAAAAATATGTTTTATGATCAAATTTGTCATTGTTTACACCCTATTTTCAAGTCAAATTCAACCTGTTCCAACGAAAATTTTAATATTTTCGAACCTTTACAATTTCAATTTTGGCATTTCTCACTCTTATTTTCAGCTTTCTCTCTTTCAATTTCAACATTTCCTTTACAAAGTACAAATAATAAATAAATGTTGTGAATTTTGCTATAGCCCAGTTTCTTACAATAATTTCAAGGAAGAAGATTTAAAACTTGGAAAACATTGGTAATAATGAAATAATAAAAATAATAATATAGTGTAAAAATTGAGATACTAATATTTCAATAAAAAAGTAATATTTGCAATTTGGCTAGTAAATAAAAACAATTAGTACATCAGATGAACTAATTGATTGTTGTTGTACAAGTATATATGTATGTATATATGTATGTATGTATGTATGTATGTATGTATACATATACATGTATATATCTATATATATCGAACATTTTAATTTTTGGACCATTTATTTTGCAACTTTACTCAGCTCCCACGGACACGATTTTAATCTGTTTATTTTTAATTACTAAATTCGAAAGTAGAAACAACTTTGTTTTCTTATATACTTGGACCCAGAACAAAAACGTTCGGTTCGATTTAGTCAAATGGACGAATTGATTTGACGAATGTACAATTTGTTTTGGAAAAAGTTTTACTTGATTAGAATAAATTTAAATTTGATTTAGTAAAAGTTGAATTTGGTTTAGAAAACTTCAGTTTGATTTGATAATTGATTTAAAAAAATATTTGAAAAAGGCATAATTTCGTATTCGCACAATTCAATTTGATTGTGAAAATGTTAATTTGATTGGAAAAGTTTCCATAGAAAAATCAGTATTTGATTTTTAAAAAAAGTTTAATTTGGTTTTGAAAAAGCTCGATTTGTTGTGAAAGAAGTTCAATTTGATTTGAAAAAAAAACCGAATATTTCTTATCCTCAAAATTTAATTTAGTTAGGAAAAGGTTCTATGCGGTTTGAGATTTCAGTTCGATTAGGAAGAGGTCAATAAAATTTTGATCAAAAATTAAGTTGAAGATATCTTGGCCTATAATCGCGAACATTATTTCATTTTAACGATTAACGGTGATAGTTAATGTATCTATTTTTTTTATTGTTGAACTGGGTTCAAAACCTTTTCTCACAGACGAATTATAAGATAAATAAATATTTTAAATAATTTTTTGTGTGTATTAAAATGTTATATTGTTGTTTCATTCCTTATAACTTTGTATTATTAACATGCCAAAACATTTTGGCAATACATTGACTTTGGATATTTACAAAGGAATCTTATATTAACAATTTCCTTACGATTGGCATTTAAAAAATACGAATGATAGTTAAACGGTACGTGCAGAAATATCTATTTTACTAGTTCTAGGAAGACACCTTTTACTCCCATACCTATAAGTGTTTTCTCGGAAAAAAAAGTCATTGAACGGATATATTTCTGCGGCCTCTTTTTAAAAAAAGTTTTGTAATAAATTTCGTATTTAAAGAAGAGAGTGTAGATAATTCAAATTTTACTTAATGTTGAAAGGCTTGATTCCTCAATAGTTCAAATCAAGGGAATAAGCAGTTTATCTCTCCTAAGTGATTCTGACGAGTTTTCAAAGAAAACGAAAGTGTCACGGAATCCGCTTAAGAATTCCGTCAAATAAACCGGGAAACCAGCCGAAACTGGTTTAGTTCCGTTGAGAACGGAACTCATTTAAATTTCCCCGATGAAGAGGGGTTTGTGGTCAAATATTAAAAAAAAATTAAATTAAAATAATAAAAACTATAGAGTTTGAACATCATAAATGTTTGTTGATATGCTATAAGGCTGTTTTATCTCTGTGCAAGGGTGTGTGTAATTACTCTGAACAGGCTTGACGGAGTTTGGAGATTTCAACACATCCTTGAATAAATAGAAAACAAGAGGATTTACCATTTTTATGTTTGTTTATGACTAATTATTCTTATTATTTTAATTTTTATAATAAACTAAGAAACAATAAGAAAGAGTGGAGTCTACTGTAGGATAGATTCGTACAAGCTATTTATATTATCACAAAAAATCCCAGATATGTTCAAAATCGATGAATATTTAATAAATGTCTTGCTGTGCAATGTGAAAAGTGTCATTTGAAATTGAAAAGATGATAAAAATCCTTAAAAGAAATTAAACTAGATATTTTTTGCTGATTTATGAACAAAGATTGACCGATTGTACACTGTGACTACTTAATACTATATATTTTTTGTGGATTTTTGAAAAAGTTCAAAATGCGAGAGGGTTAAGCATCTTAAAATTGAATTTTTATTTTACCTTACACCCTGGAGACAACTACTTTTAAATCAGCTTCAGGTCAATGTAAGATTTTTTTGCATTTTATCAATGTCATGAAATTTAAATTATAGCTATTATTTTAAAGAGATGTATCTCCAGTTTTTTTTGCAGTTTTTAAATTTGAAATTTACTCACCGATTATGTTATTAGCTGAAGCGAGGCTGACCCATGTCAGTACCCCGAGCCAAGGGAACGATTTCATAACCTGAAACCACACACAACCCGATAAGCCCTAAGTCACTCAATTTACCGTTTTAAGAAAAAAATTGATATCAAGCAATTTCAATATCTTTTTGAACGAAAATCGATCGAAAAAATGTTCAGACTTACCGAATCAAGTTAAAAACTAAAATCAGAATCACAAGACAAACGAAAGTCTATATATCGATATTTAAAAAGTCGCGAAGTTTTACGAACACAGTCTCCCGGTAGCCGTCGATGTGCTTCCTCACGTCTGGGCACGGACTAAACCGATGAGAAAGAGATGCGGAGCTGGAAAAACTGACTCCGCCCTGGCTCTCCCACCAGCCCTCAACTCCACCAATCGCACCCCCAACTTTACAGGTAATATCAGTACCTCCCCTTCATATAAAATTATTCCAGCGTGGTCAATTCGATTCTATAAATATGCCGTGTAAATTTGTTTTATGGCTGTTTGAATCATATTGTTACTGTCATTCATTTGTACTGGTAACGATTTTTAAACGCTTCAAATCAACTTTTCAAATGAAACTTCTCTTCACTAGTAAGTTCGAGATCAGGAATGCGGTCATCAAAAACAAGTAAATTTTGTAACTTATACCAAGCTTTCAACATTTATTGAGGTCTTCATCAGGGCTCTACAAGTAATAGCAACGTTTATAATTAATAAATAATATGTAGCACAATAATTCTCAGATAACAATGGATATATACGGGGTGTCCCAGTTCCTTCTGACGAAACTCAGGGAATCGATTCTACTCTTCGTTTGGAGCAAAAAATGCCCATAAGAAAATTTTTGTTAAGTTCTCTATTTTGAAGATATTCGTCAATTTAGGGTTTTTCAACTTTTCACTACCTTACCACATAAAAACGCTTACAATTTCCAAAATGTTGAGACTACAACAAATCCAATTACACTATTTGAAAGAACGCTAAATTTACTGTAAGATACTTCTATTTGCAATAATCTGAATGACAAAATGTTAGCCAATATCAGTTAGAACATGTCAAAATGACAAAATTTAAAATTTTGGTCATGATTGCACGTTCTACTGAGGTTACAAAAAACACCTACAACTTGTCAAATTTCACAAAAACTTCTTCATTTAATATGCTTTATGTTGATATATCCAGGTTTTTAAATAACGTTCTGGTAGAGTTGAAAAATAACAACTGAATGTTCGAAAACGTGAGCTAAGATAAATTTGAAGGGGGGAGGTAGATAAATCAATTAGAACTAGCTTTGTAAAAAAAAATGTAACGTACAATCATGACCAAAATGTTAAATTTTGTAATTTTGACATGTTTCATCTGATAAAATTATTCCAGCGTGGTCAATTCGATTCTATAAATATGCTTTGGCTAACATTTTAGGTCATTCAGATTATTGCAAATAGAAGTATCTTACAGCAAATTTAGCGTTCTTTCAAATGGTGTAATTGGATTTGTTGTATTCAAAATTTTGAAAGTTGTAAGCGTTTTTATGTGGTAAGGTAATGAAAAGTTGAAAAAAACCTAAATTGACGAATATCTTCAAAATAGAGAACTTTCCGAAAATTTTCTCCTGGGGATTTTTTTGCTCCAAACGAAGAGTAGAATAGATTCCCTGAGTTTTGTCAGAAGGAACTGGGACACCCTGTATATCAGGGGGTGTTCGGCTACTCGTGTTACAAACTTTGCCAGTAGATTCTACATTCAAAATGGAATCAAAAAGTCCTCATTAACTATGGTCCGAATCTCAACAGTTTCAGAGTTATTTTCGTTTTTCTGATTTTTTAAGATTTCACGACCTTACTTCAAATAAACAATGATAACTCCAAAAGTGAAAAGTTTTGGTTGATACCATTGAAATCTACGTTAAATTTCCAATAAGATGCGATAAACTCATCACATGTAAACGTTTGTAAAATAGGTGTTTTAGTAGCGAGAATTTCGAAAAAAAATTTTTTTTCAAAGTTGAAAACTTACCGTGGTGATTCTAAACTACTATTTCCAAACCCAGAGACCAGCAAATACTAGAAAACGTATTCCATTTAATATCCTTTTTAGTGGTGTAATTGCTTTTTTAATTACTTTTTCAAAAATGAAGAAATTGGTGAAGTAAAGATAAAAACCGTGGTTGACGGATTGGTAAGGTGGAAAATTAAAAAACAAAAAATAATGTAAAAACTTAAGGAAATTTTGAATGAATGAACTAAAAACGTTTTGAATGTTAATATTCTTTTTTTCAGGGAATGATAATACAATAATCAAAGTTGTAGTAGTGTTGGTAAATATGTAAACAATTGCACTATTTCGGTTTCGAACCCAAATTAAAAAACGCTTAATAAATTTATTCAAAATTTCCTTAACCGTTTACCTTTTACCCACTTTTACCTAATTTATTCGCAGTTTTCACTCTTTTTTCGGAAAGAGCGATAAATGTTCTGTAGGACTACACCATTTTCATTTCTTTGCGACACGCTTAATTGTCATTTATATCAGAGGATATATAAAATTTACCAAAAATCTTTAATTTTCATAGCAATTCAAAAATTTACCTCTCTTTTACAAATAATCTTAGATTGTCGAATCACAAAAAATTCCTTCACTTAATCACCTTTCTAATGATGTATGCATTATTGTGATTGATACTTCTTTGGGAGGAGGAACCAAGCTTCAAAGATTACACAAAACATGGTCTCGGTTGATGGAAAGGGGTGGAGTAGTTTATTATGTTCCCATTCCTTTTCTTTCTTTTTATTCTCATTTTAGAAAAAAATGCACATTAAACAAAACAATAAAGTATTCAGGGTAAAATTTGTTCGAACTGCCTTCCCCTGTTCCTGACGCACAATTTTGTTCGTTTCCGAACGGCTCCCACAGTAATTGAGAGATTTAACATCATAAGTTTTTGCTGCAGCAATTCTTCTTCTCTTTAACTTTTCTTCGCTGTTGACCTATACCCTGCAGATTTCTTGTTTGAGACAACCCCAAACGAAGAAGTCAACTCAAGTCCTTGAAAGGGGTTGAGATCAGCAGACCGCAGAGGCAATGGTACCACTTCGCCCTATCCATATAGGGACTCGTTCAGACAGTGCTTACTGTCCTAGAATAATGCGGTGGGGCCCTATCTTCTTAACAAATAAAAATAAAGAGAAGGAACGAGAAACATGATAAATTTCTTCCCTCAACCGAGACCACGTTTTTTCACTTTTGAAGGTTGGTTTCTCCTCCCAAAGAAGTATCAATCACAGTAATGCATACATCATTAGAAAGGTTATTAAATGAAGAAATTTTTGTGTGATTCGACAGTCTCTAAAATTACTCGTAAAAGAGAGGCAAATTTTTGAATTCCTTATATAAGTTCTGTCTTCCTTCTTATTCCTTCTAATCATTGACATTTAATCACGCCGCAAAGAATAAATTTAGCGGCATTCTACTTCATGTTCGATGAAGATTCATTCAGAAAAAAATTTCACACTGACCCACTCCACCCCGTATATAAATGAATGAGAATTGAGATATCCTAGAAGTTTTACTTTACAGCCCCTGGAGCCTAACCTCAGTAATTGATAAGACCGAGGTTTGACCCCCCCCCCCCCGACTGCCCAAACGAAGTCATAAGCTCATTTCAGTTTGTATGTACATTATGTATGTTCAGAAGTGAGCGCGTATAAATCAATCAATCGATGTTGATATGTGCATCTGTCGGTGTTATATTTTTTTCATTACCCATCATATTTGTCTGTCTACCCAGCTGGTCTGATATGGTATTTCTTATTTAATTATTTATTTATTATTGGGAAAAAGCGATTTAACTGCATAAGGTCCAATTTTTTTACGAAAAACACAAAAACAATCATAACTATTAAACAAAGATAGGATGCCAGTTCTGGCGACATTCTACTCCATTTTCAATGAAGTTTCACCCAAAAAAGTTTTCACACTGATCCGAATCTTCCCAGTATATAAAACAGTTCCGTGACTGACTGAGACTACGCACAGACCAAACCCCTGGATCTAAAGGGCTGAAATGTCGACAGTGCATTTCTATAATGACATGGATAGCCAGTAAGAAAGGATTTTTAGAAATTCCATCCCTAAGGGGATCGTATGAAAAATTTTTACTTTGTATAGCTAGAAGTGAACTAAAGAAGAATTTGACAAACGAGACATGTTATTAGAAAGCCATACCTTGGACGAGGATGAAGTCGCGGGTAAAAGCTAGTTCTTAAATACATTCTTTCATCTACCATTCCGTTACCTTTTACACATATTCAGTATAAAAAATCTAATTGTAATGGGGTATGCTATAGTCCACCATCGGAAAATTCACTTAAATAAATACATTCCCTCTCAATATAAATTAAAACACAAAACAAGATTTATACAAAGTACTATATACGATAAAAAAGCGCTATTTCTTTCCACAAAACGAAACAGGTATCAGAAACTCGCTGCTCAAGTAAAATTGACATATGCCCCTCTATACAGAACCGAGGTATGACATACTTCAATTCAGTGACAGTGACACATCTTGTAACTTTTCTCTACGTGCCTGACACATAAGGCTAGCCAGGTTATATGGTTAACAAGAAATCACATAAACCCAACTGAAGTTGACCTTATGGCGAAACGCGTCTATCAAAAATCAGCGAGGATAGGCAGACCAAGGTGATAGGTGACTTTCAAACCGTTGGTTCATCACCCCGCAGACCACAAGAGGAACTATTCTCAATATTCCACCCTCAGTCCTCTCACACTGTAAATTCAATTAAATAAATACATTCCCTCTCAATATACACAAAACGAAATTTAAATCAAGTACTATATACAATAAAACAGCCCTGCTTCCTCCAATCGGAACAGGATGCCCGAAAATCGATGCCCAAACAATTCCAATTTGAAGTGGCATTCAACAAAAAGATTTAATTTTGTTTTAACAAAGTTCAATTTGATTAGGAAAACGTTTAATTTGATTTTTGAAAAAGGTTGAATTTTATTTGGATCTCTTCCGAACATAAAGCTCTATTTGATCAAAGATTGAGCATTCGAATTTTCTTTTTAGCTATTTTATTAATAAAATATACAAAACACGTCTTTCACATTAAGCCAGATTGGTAATTAAAAAAATAATTTAGTTTATTACTTGGTTTCTAATTTGTTATTATAGGTGGGCTATAATTAATTAAATGTAAAGGGAATAAACGAATAAATAATGCACGCATTTAAACAATGTAAAAACGACTAATCACAAAACTTTATTTTTT